TCCTGCTGATAGTTCAGGACTGTTAGTGGTTACCTGACTATTTGACAGAAAACATTTCCTCTCCTTTATTTAACCTTTGACTCGTGAATGTAAAAGTTTTATCAGAGCTCTAGTAGAAGCACCAGTGAGGTGGAAGTCTACTTATGGCAACAAGGGTTATGCGTGACTTTTATTCAAAGTCTGAGCTCCTGCCTTGTGGCTCATTTGGATTAAAAGAAAATGCTAAGTACGTTTTTAATTAACCATGAAATATCTTGGGCGCTTGCTTTCGTGACAGGCAGTGCCTCTACTTTTAAATAAAGACCACTGTATTCTCAACCAGGGAATAATACGTATCTATTAAAACAATATTGCATATGTTTTGATGTTATTCTTTGTTGTGGGAGAAGTGTTTTGTGGCAACTTTAGAGAAATTGTTGTATGTTGTTGGAGGTTGTCATATGTTTGTCTTGTATGTTTGTTTCTCAAAGAGTTTTTGGTTGTTATATGAGGAACGCAAAGACAATATGTACAATTAGAGGAAAAATAAACAAGAAACCAATAATGATTTCGTAGTTTAAGAACCTCAATTATTTTTATTTGAAGTTTAGGCTTCTAAATACATTAAAGTTGAAAGTTAAAGTCCTGTTTTTCCTCTTTTTTATCTACTGTGAAGGGGCTTCATTGATAACCTTTTGACGTTTTTGTAAGACAGCTAATTAATTATGAAATACACCACTCATAAATAATTTTATGAATACAAGTATGATGGTAAGGTCTTTCTTGTAGTGAACTTTAATTTTGATTTTATCTGTTGTTAAGGTACATATTAGTGTGACAGTTTTGAGTTAGGAGTAATATATTACAGGTCTCCTCTGTTAAATTCAGTCATTTCAAAACTATTTTTTGCAGACAGTGCATTTCTGTCCTGACTTGAAAAAAATTGTCACCCAGCCTAACAGATGTCGATGGCCATTCGTGTGCTTGATGACTTTTCTGTACACAGACTAGTTCTTCTGTGCTAAATAAAGATTAAATAATTTTTCAAAATTTGCTAACAGGACAAGCTAAGAAGATTCTTTTACCTGTAATGTTCCTGGTTTTTAGCGATCATACATGCAAGTGTCAGACATAGTGCTTTTTCCAATACGATGTACTGGAGAAAGATGTAAAGCCTATATCATGGGAGTGTCCATCTAGGAATAAATCTATTTACTAGAGTAGTCCAAATAAATTAATAGGGTTGTTCACACAGATGCTTGCAAAATCAGCCCGTGATATAAGACGACAAAAATGTTGCTTGACAGCCTTGAGGATGTTACAAAATAAAAAGAGCTTATATTTGCTCTTTGAATTGAGAATCGAAAATACCACCTGATAGCTGTCTTGGTTATGAACAAACACAGCCTGTGTTTATGTTTACTTTTGAACGCAGAGATGCATTGTATATGCACACACACAAATGCTCATTATTGTTTATGAAAGCAACAAATGTAACAATTCTTTATTACACTGAATTAATAGCAATTAACAAATACATAAAAATATAAAGGGAACTTTTTTGCTTTCCAGTAGATCTTTGTAATATTTTGTTGCAGTAAGAACAGTATAGTTAAAAATATCAAGAAAAGCTTTTGCAATTAAACCATGCTTTTGAAGAACTGAAGATTATGTGGAAAAGAAACAGGACGGGTCTTAGTGGCCTTTGGTTTCATGCCGTGTAACGTAGTGGAGTACTTGTTTCGATTTCCTTAATTTTTCAGGTTTAAGCAGCATGTTGAGATTGTATTAACCTCGTGTCTGTGGTTAAAGCGATTCCTTTTCCAGTCTTTCAGCTCAGAAAGGAAATGCATTTTTAAACTATGTTCAAGTAGTCTGTTTTTGCAATTTTTTTCTTTGCGGTTTTGTTACGTGAAGTGTTATCATCAACCTGATTTTGCTAATAGAAGAAATTTTTGTATGAGTACTCTGGTCAGCGTGCCTTGCTGTATGAAAGAAAAATCTCCCTTGGCTTTCTGTTAGGATTCATTAATTTCAAATAATGAATTTGACCTTTTTATGCATGGACTTAAAAATTGCATTTAATTTTTCTTTTCACAGTAAGAGGCGAATTGAGATCATAAATACAAGAAAGAAATATCGTTAATATTTTATTGAAGTAGGAGCCTTTATTTTTATAGAATGCTGTTCATTAATGTGCATTATGAAAAATGGATGATCAGATAAGATTTTAGAGTATTCTACAGCAAAATATGCTGGGGTGATGTACGCCACTAGTGCAGAGGTGATAGCAAAATACTGGAAAGCTTTTAGGTAATCTAACCCGTTTGTGTGTCCAGTGTCATAAAAATGCTATGTGATTTATACCTACCTGGTACCTTGACTTGGACAAGACGCTAGAACAGTGCTCCGGTCCCTGCTGTAAAACTGTTCGATAGCTCTGACATTTGCAGGCACTCTGAACGCTGTGGTGAACGATTTGTTTGCCTATCTGCGCTGCGTTTCAGCGACGTGTAAAACCAGCTTAACACGATTTCAAAAGATAATAGAGCAGGAGTCCTTGGTGGAAGAAACCTCAAAGATTAGATGTTTTAGGTGCTGTTGTGATGGGTGTTTTACAAGTGCGTGCAGCGTTCATGCCTGTAAGCAGAGTGGCCTTACACAGGTGCAATGAAGTAAATTTTGTGATTATATAAGAATATATTGAAAAGCAAATGCAATAATGTCACACCTTAACTACTGTCAACAATACCAAGCATTAAAAATGTCTGTGAGCATTAAGAGGTTGATGTAGTTCTGATTAATAGCCAGTACAATGTATGGTAAAGTGTGATAAAGGCATTAATACAGTAGGTCTAAAAGAAATCATTGCCTCTGTGTCACTTTGGCTTGGCAAGTGTAAATGCATCATGGCTTTTTTGTGCGGTGTTTTTGTGGTAGTTTTGTTTGTTTGTTTTTTTTTTTTTCCTCAGAACCAGCAGTTAAGCATTAATAAGGATTTGTAAATAAGATTACTAGAAAATGCATAACTGTATGTTCAGACTTCTGCTGTTCTCTTTCTTTGCCTTAAGAATTAAGATCTGTTTTTAAAGCCTTGCCAGCTGCGTACTGAGGACAGAGGTGTTAGAAAGAAAACATGACCCGTCACTGGACTCACTGCACAAAAGTAGACTTGGCTTCTCTGCCAGCCAGGGTTTCCCCTAACAGGTTTCCTTTTCCTATCAGGGAAAACATTTAGGTTCTGCATACTGGGCTTTTACAGTTGCAGTTGCGTGTTTCCTGAAATATATAAATTTCAAATTTTAAGGTCTGCCCATAAAACACGCTAAAGCTTTTAAGAAATGCATTGGAACTATGTCCGTGGATTTACACTGCACAGAATGACAAAGTGTGTAGTATTGTTACATATGGGTATGAAATGTAGTAAAAACATCTCAGGCTTTATTTCCTTCGAACCTCCCTTCTAACCTCAAACAACTAACATTAACCATACCAGGACCATTTTAGAAATGTTCTTTGTGATAAAATTCTAACAGACATGAGAAGGTGTGTAATTTGTAAATAAGGAGTAATTTATACTGGTACTGTTTAGTTTACCAGACTTATTACATCTGTAGCATAGACTTAAATAGTGATTATGGAAAATTCTGTAGCATGTGATCACCGATGATGTCACTAGTAAAGGTAACTGTTCTGTATATAGACGACAAAAAATGGAACTGATGCCACTGTGTTTGAGTTTTTCTCATGCTCTTCAGTTATGTCTTATTTATCTTGGATTCTGTTTAACTCACTGAGAGTATTGCACGCATATGGGCTGCAGGCTTGTGTTAAAAGTCTATTAAAGTATTCATGTCTTAATGTGCTGTGTGTTTACAATATTGGTGAATGCTCTCGTATTTTTAGAAGCTCATTCTAGCTCTAGAAATGACTTTATAGGGAGACCGGTATTCTTACACATCTATACTCTTGCATAGCATTGCCCCACTTGTCAAACACGGGGTACCTGGTCTGCCCAGGTAAAATTGTTTTTCATTCTCCAGGGAAGCAGCAGTTCTGGCAGTCCACGAGGTACGACAGGACGCAGAGTTTCAGTATTGCAAATAGCGTAACTACCGAAAGACATAACAATTAAAGATAATGGGAATGTCATTTGGCAATGTTTAAAATGATTTTTTTGGTGCCTTTAAGATAATGAAAAGTGGAAGTATTATGAGCTAATCTATGCTTAATGGAACTTCAAGCAGGTGTCCAGCACAAAGAATCGTATCTTTGCTACTATCTGTGATGCACCATTAAATTTGTGGGGAAAGGTTTTATATGGATTTTATTTGTCTGTAGAAATATTATAAATATGTGCAAGTCAGATTAATTGCAGTAGTATTTTATAAGCACTGGAAAAAATACACTGATATTTTATTAAAATGCTTTTCCCCTCCTGTTTTAGTTACCTACCATGGTTTGAGGTATACTACAAACTCCTAAATACCCTGGCAGATTATTTGGCTAAAGAACAGGTAATTTTAAATATTCTGTTTGTGTAAAATATTTTCCTTCAAATAATGGTCACCATTTGACGTGCTGTAAAGTGATTCTATACTGTTTAAAAGTTTAAAATTTTAGTAGAGTTTAGAAGCAAGTTTTTACATTCATCATACTGAAATTCAAAGAATCTGAACATACAGCTGCCACTGTCACTTGAATCCCACAGTAGTCTTAAAAGGCTGCTGAGAATATACCTTTATAAAGTGTCAGTCTGAGCATAAACAAGTCCTGGGTGAAGTGTGAGGAAGGTGTCACATCACTGGAGATCTGTATGACGTATTGATTGTAAACTGTAGATCTCTGGAAGTATCTGATTATCAGTTACAAACACTTTTTTTCAGAACCGCATAAAATATGATGTACTGTTTCACCCTTCATAGTAACTAAAAACTACCTCTCGTAATTCTGTCATCTCAACTAGCAAGACAAAATTACTTGCAGCATTTGGTGAAGAATCATGATAGTTTAGTTTGCATATTCATGAGCAATTAGACATATTCCAGGATTATGCAGGAAAGGAAATACTGGCATCTGTCTTTGCTGAGAACATTAAAGCTATACCTTTCTGCTTTAACTATATTAGTGTACTAGATTGTAATTAAAAGAAAAAAAAAGCATCAATAGTCAGCCATATGCTATAGACTGGAAAAGCTGACATTTCAAGAATATATGAACTATAGAATAAGCAATTATTGTGCATTATAGTAAATAGACTACAGAGAATGATGATTTTTTTATGTAAAAAGAAAATGCAGTACGAAAGTTTGGTGTTAGCTGTGTTTAAATAAAGTGTGGAATACATTTACATCTTATAAATGGTATAGTGAGACTTTGGTTTTGGCCCAGATTTCACTGTAATAGTAAATATTAAGGTTGTATTTGGCAGAAAGGGTAGAGATTGCCATCTTTGTTTCTTGATCACTGGTTGTGGCGTTGCAGCTACTACTGCAGCCAACTTAAGCTGCTGGGTTATAAGTTGTCCTGTGTGCTGAGAAAACTGTTTTGGTGGGTCAGAAAGTTTTAGCAGTGTACAGAAATATTCTGTTGCATTGCGTAGTGCTGTAGCTGTTGCTGGGGAGGCTGTTAGACGACGTTGCTCCTGCCTGGCCCAGGTGCTGTTCCTCTGACCAAGAGCCAGACCCAAAGTCTTGTTCACTGGTATGAGATCCAGTAACACCATCATTCTTGCAAGGAGAGGCGGAAGCTTCCTGCAAACTCAAACAATATATTTAAAAGCTGGCCCTGGCTTGTCACTGATAATTTTGGTTTTACTTTGACAACAAAAAGAATTTAATCTCTGTGAACAAAACCCCTGAACTGAATGAAAATCCTAAACCAAACAAAAAACTCCAGCTGCATCTCTTCCCCAAGTAAATGAAATCAAGGTGAGGGATCCTAGTTAAAGCTGGTAGCTGCATGTACTTTTTAGTAAACCTTATTAATTTTTTAATGTGCTACAAATCATTTAAAAATACACCGTATGAGCTATGTAGCTGCATATTTAATAAAACTTTGAATAGGCAAATACCATGGCTAACAGTTTTAGGAAGATAATGATATATAGATCACCTAGACAAGTTAACACTATTTTCAGTTACAAATAATGTGATTCATTTAAGGAGTAAGAGATTGACTTAACTTGCAGGTACAATCATTTTCTGAGATAGAAAGTTGGCCTGAATTTTATACTTAATATTTAAATACTTCGCCGTGAATTGCAATTGTCTTTCTCATTAAAAAAAATACATATATCTTTGTCGATATATATTTTGATGTAGTAAGTGGTAATTAGTTTTTATACAATAATTAACTATCTTTTAAAAATATTCCCTATAGGAAAATGACTCAAATGATTTGTTAAAATCATTGTATAGCCATCCTGTGCCAAAGGCGAACGCTTTAGTCAGTTTAAGTGTGGTAAGTATTCTCTGTTTAACTCTTCACCCTATTACTGACTATAAAATAGTAGATGAGGTTGAAACAAACAAACAAAAAAAATCCCCTTTGTATAAAGAGTAAATTTATGTTTTTTCCCATCATTAACTGGCTCGGACAGCCTTTTCCCCGCCGCCCCCCCGTGCAGAATAGGGTTTGTTCTCTTAAAGTCATAGTCAAAGAAGCAGAAATTTGAATTTTGCTCTATAGGTGAGAAAGTAAGGTGCAGTGGGATCTGGCACTGCTAGAACTATTTTTTTGTGCTTCCAGCTGTTCCATGTAGATATTTTTGGTTTCTTCTGCTGTGAATCGGGAGACAGTAACTCTGTTTTATTGCCTCTTGTGTCTGAGTAGGTAGACTTGCGGGATTGGACAAAAATATGTGTAAAGTCATTTCCTTCTCATATTCCTTCCCCTTCTTCCTAGTTTTGCTTGATCATGCAAAAATGCTGTAGGAAAGATGGTGGAAGTGCACTGCTTTCCGTGAAACTTCCAGCACATCTAGGTGAAAGAATGTGTCCATGCCTACCTTGCTTTTGTGCTCTGACTTTTTGTGATGTAGGACAGGACATTGATAGTATGGCAAGGTGGTGCTACAGTTCCTGACGTTTTTAACAGAAATAGCATATGGATGCACATTTAAATACATTTGTAGAGCCTGCATGAAACATAAAGCCAATACAGAATCTCTGCTGTCTCCAGCATTGTTGATGTTCACAGCATCTGTAGGATTGCTGCATGCCTAACTGTGTGCAAATGACTGTTTCTTGATTGAACTATCACAGTTTGCAGGGCACAGAAAGAAGCAGTTTTGTAAAGACTTCCCCTATGCATGTACTGAAAGATCATTACATTATTTATTTTGACCTTATTTGTGTCATTTCCTGTTACTTTTAACTCTATTATTTTAGAATTGAGCCCAATACTTCGAGTAAAGACTCTAGAAAAGCATCTGGCCCTATTATGAAGGCACACAGAAATGCAGAGTCTACTACTTCTGTTCCAGTAGTTACTCACCCTTGCTGCTTAACATATTGCTACTTTTATTTTATTTTAATTTGTCATATTTCAGATTCCTTACTATGTTTTTTTTCACGAGGCCATAGAGGCTTAGTATTTTTTCCCCTTGAAGAGTGCTAATCCACTGTATGTGGAAGTCCTTCCAGTCTTGTGTGTTCTTTTTCACCAGAATAACATATTGGGTTTTGAGGCTGCAGTCGGAATTGTTTCTGTTGCTGTTTTTTCTTTCTGTTGTCGGTGTAATATTTTCAAGTTATTTTTCAATTTATAGTACCTTTGCCAAGAATACTTCTGTATATCAAATAATATTTTGCTATCATTAATTGCAGTATTATAACCAATTCTAATTTGGCAACCCTAAAACACTTTAGAAAGTCCTTTAAAAATCCTGCTGTGTTTCAGAGGGACGTAGAGAAATTGTAAAGATATTTTTCCTTGCATTTCTTGCAAAGTGTTACTGCCTGTTGCTATCACTGTTGCAGTTCATCTTGCATAGAACTTGCCTGCCTCAAAATGAATGTGGTGATGAACCTGGAAATGGATGTTGTGGTGAATACAGCTGGCAACACTGGGATGACAAATTGCTCGCAATAAAGTTTGATGCTTGCTGATTTTATTTCAATATTATCTGACTTCTGATTTTTTTTTTTCTCTCAGTTGTCTCTTGTTCCCAGTAGCTTGTTACATCAAAGAATTTTATAATCCCCTTAGCCGAACAATGATTATCTAAATGCAGGCCTCTTGCCAAATGCTTGGCTGCAGGTAGAGTCGAGCAAATGTTGTAGGTTCAGACGGGGCAGAGCAGGAAGGAATAGTTTAGCCTGAATCAGAACGCTTGTTGGACCTACAGGCATTCTCCAGTTTTGTAATGCTCAGTGCTGCAGGGAGCAGGGAAACGTTTATGGCCACTTTCAACTCTAACTTTGTGTGCCTGGTCTCTTATATTGATGTTCCTTTCTTGCTCCTTGTATATTGTAAATAAGCTAGACTGGAACCATCAGTATAATAGATTTAAAAAGAAGTTACAGTCTGAAAAATAATTGTAGAAATGACATCATGAGGTGGCTTTTCATTGTGCCAGGAGGAATCTAGTTCAAATTTCATGATGCAGAATTAAAAAGATCCCTCCCCGCGTTTCCCCAGGTACACCGCAGGGTAAGGCTCGTGGATGTTGAAGCGGGATTCAGGTGGCAGATCACAATGGTACTTAGGATTGCATGTATATAATCATGGATGACTTACACCCAGCATCTGGATACATGGGGTTTCCCAGTAATTCAGGTCCAGTTAGGAACCAAGTTCTACTCTCACTTAGCAGTCCCCGTAACAGATGTTCTGCAGCTGAAATTTGTGAGGGGTGACCATTCATTCTGTGGAACCTGAGTTTAAATATAATTTGGGTCACTTTTATTTTACCCATAGAGGGCTAACAAAAGTGATTTTTTTTGTTTTTCTTTTTTTTTTTTTCCCCCTTGCTGTTGGAAAAGCTAGCTAAGTTAAGTCTGAATTCAAATGGGGGAGGAATACAAAGAATAAACCATATTTTCAGCCAATATTTTAAACATGGAATATTACAAGCGTTAGAGTCAACTTTGGCTTTTTTGTTGAAAAACAAAATTGTTCAATCTTTCTCTCATCTTGCATAAGAACCAAGAGATGATTTTTGCAAGTGTGCAAGTTTTGAAAAAACAACCTTGCCTTGTATCGGTGAGTTTTAAAGGCACTATCTAAAGCTTATTGTAATTAAAGAAATAATTACTTGCTATAGGATCTCTCTTTTGATTTCAGGCTTATTTATACCCGTCCTTTGGGAAATTCTGCTGCTGTCTTTAGCCTAAAAGAGCAGTCTAATATTAATGTACCTATTCTGTTTAAATCAATTTAATGTCAGAGCTATGTGTGTGTGCATCATAATCCTTCCATAAGAACTGCAACCAAAATCATACCCTTAAATTGATGAACGAAACTTGCATTTGCTAGTGTCCTTTTTAGAGAAAACTTTACACAGGACAGTAACTATTAATTTAGTATCTCTTCCAAGGCCGTACATCTTCCTAAGGGAGTTCACAAAGATGTGCAAGGACTCCATACCACCTTGTTTTTGCTGCTTTATGACTCTTAATGACTGCAGTAATGGGTCTTTGCTCCTCATAGTTCTGACTTCCTTTTCTGTTTAATGAGTGAAATATTATTACTTTTTTAATTATAAATAATTACTTCTCAAAGTTACTAACTCCATTACTCAGAAATCTTTTGATAAATATTCTGTGACCTTATTGCATATAGGAAATAATTTTCTGTTCTCACTGTACTTCTTAAGAATTTTCTGTTCTCACTGCCTACTTCTGTAGGCATTCCATTAATCTGAATATTTTCTTGTTCTTGACTCGAGGAAAAAAAAAAATCTTAGCTTTTGTTCTCTGTTGATGCAAAACAATAACTTGGGATATTTACTGTGCAAGTGCTATGATGTTTATGGGATGCCTTTTTTAAGCCAATTTTTTTCTTAAATTTTTAACTATTGCCAAATGACCTAATTTGTGGGGAAAATTTTCTATTAAATGTATCAAGCTGGTTTAATAAGTCTCCTACACAGAATTAATAGTATTAATAAATTTTTTTTTTTTTTGCTTTAACACAAGACACATTTAATATCTTATAGACTTCCTTTATGTTTTGGTATATCTTTTTCAAGTTTGACTTGAAAAGAAACTGTATTTTTGTGTTGTTAATTATAATTTTAAAATGCACTTTAAAACCAAAGGAAATCTATGAAAAAATGTCAAAATTCCATTAAAAACAAATAAAAGCTAAAAAGTCAATAATTATCACATTTACTTAGTATTCATTTAAGTTTTTTTTTGTCCTTCAAGATTCAGACTACTGTACAAAAATGCCTTAAAATTACTGAGCTAAATCCATGTCTGATAACTATTAAAAGCCCTGGATTAATGAGAATAATTTAAATTACATCTGTTTTTAGTTTAATCTATTTTATATTTACATCCTAGAGGGCCTCAAACTAAGATGCATAAAATTGCTAATGTATTTCATAAAGGATTGCAGCATCTTAAGTTGTCAGACGTTGCATTTCTGTTAGCACATTTTTGATTCAAAGATGTACGGAAAGAGAAGAGAATGTATATCAAGTAATAATATTTCTATTCTAATTAACTTTCTCATGTGAATGATTTTTCCTTTTCCATTCTAAATTTACGTTTTGTCCTTTAACATTTTTTGTTTTCGTTGCAATTTTTAAATCAATGCTTAAGTTAATCAATGCTACACTCGGGCTCGTGACAACATTTAAAGCTGGCTTAATTTCAATGTTATTTCAAAACTGCAGCCCAGCGTTTTGTTCCCTTGGTTTGTGTGCTGTGCTGAACCAGAGCTTGTCATTTTGTGTTGTGATCTGCTTAATTCTTTGTCTAGTAGTGGTAAGACTGCTATTGGAAAAATGGCTATTTGCTTAAACAAAGATGGGGTTGGAAAACCTAAGTGCTGGATTTTTTAAAAAAAGAATTTTTGGTTTCCATGTGCATAAATTGTTAATTATTTTTCCCCATTCATTAGCACTCGTATTTCATTACTCCTGATATAACTGGATTGCCAACAATCCCTGAAAGTGTAAGTATGCAGTTTCTTTTTTAAATATTTAGAAGTATCAACCTCATTCTGTGGGTAGGGCTGAACTCTGTTTTTATCAATAGGAGATGTGTTTTTTTCCCCAGACTGTTTTTAGAATATGATTGATGTCTATTATTACAACCTTTAGCTAGTAGTTATTGTTGCATTCATCATTAACCCATTTTAAAGCATTAACAGGACATTTTTGACCACTGCTATATTCACCCTTTGTTCATAATTACTTGGCTTGTTTGCATTCATTGGGATTATTTATGTAAAATATAGTCTAGTTCTGCACCTCATGTTATTTGAATACCTGTCCTTTAAATACGGCATTGCTAAGCTGCAAATTCAGCTATCAAGATAGGCAGTTATTTTTTGTGTAAGAAGGCATTGTTCCAGGCTTTCTGAAAATGTGCTGTACCTGCTTACATCTGAATGGTAACCGTGCACCAGGAGGGGTGGCGGCGGTGGTGGTGGTAGTTGTTATTTTATGCAGACTTGTATTCTGTAGATGCTGAATCCTTGATGACACTGTGGGTAGATTGCGAATGTGAAATCTCAGATCACGTTTTCTGTAATGTGTTTAACTGGGTAACATCTAATAAAAGAGCTTTGAAACTTTCTGCTTTCCACTCTTGCATTTTAATCTGGAATTGAATATGGACATGTAGATGTGCATTTTTTACCTTTTCAAGTGGTAACTTCCTTCTGAAAGTTAAGCTGTTGAGAGGTTCACCACAGTGCAAAATCACGCAGCATGGCAGAACTCACCCTCAGTAGGTGCTGTGGTGTTTGTGCAGAAGCCATGACAGAGGTGTGCTCCAGCCTCTGCGGTGCTGCGTTGGCTGCACTGCGGCTGGGAGGGGACGGCCCGGGCGGGCAGCGGCTCCTGGCCCGCGGGATGGGATGGGTGAGGGAAGGCAACGGAGCCGGGGAAGCCTAGACTGGTGAGGAGAGGAGAGGAGGGGAGGCCTGCGGGTACGTCTGTGGTG